AAATCTAAAACTTTGCTAAATTCCTACATTTTATGCATTTGTTAAATACAAAGATATATTCAGAATACCAATCAGATAAAAATGAACCTTCTTTAGCAGATCCTTCTCAAAACTCAATGCTATTACTATTACAGGAAAATTACTTCTCTAAATTATTGGGGAAAGTTTGAGATTTTAATAGGTATTTAATTTAAATCTTCCAATAAGAACTCACTGAATACTGAATTTTCACTGCTTTTTTAATTGTTCTATATTTAGAGGTTTTGAATAATTGTCTAATACTTATTAGAGCAACCATTTTCATGAACATATTATATGAGAAAGAAATTAAAGGCTTACACTTAATATTTAGTCATGCCAGTGTTTTATTTATCAAGAAAAAAATGGCCTATTCCTGAAAGAAATCCAGATTTGCAGAATTCAGGAAACTTAACCCAAATACTTCCCATATTTACATATCTTCTTATTTGGCTAGTATGCAAAATATTCAATACACTCCTGACCTACTCCTTGTGCTCATCCCGTCTCTTCAGACCTTGTACCTCAAGCTTCCTGTTCCAATTTTGTATTAATGTTGATAACATTTTTGTAACCCTTAGTGCATTTTCTCTTGGGACTTGTTGGTACATTTGATTCACTGAATAAATTCCCATGAGCCTGAGGAAGATATGGTAGATAAAACACTATGTGGTGAAAATCCATATAAGAACCATGCCAGAGAGGATAAAAGTAACTCTTTACCTCTCTTCTCTTTGTATTTTGCTTCCCATGTCTGTAATGGGAAATACATCAAAGAATATCACCTACAGAAATAAAATAATTTGAAATGTATTAAGAGAGAGTTATATTTCTAAATCCTAAATGCTTTGACCTAAAACAGAAACAGTTGCATATATATGTGTGAGTGTGTGTGTGTGTATATATATATATATATATATATATATGTATTATTTCTACATTTCTATATATTTATAATGTCAACCAGCCAGCCCAGTATACTTGTACTTGTGTGACAAGAAGAGGTAAGACAAAGCTGAAGCCAGTGAAAATTTACCTTGTCTCACCACTGATTCTTTAATTCTTGGATTCACTTTATACCAGATTGAATAGAATAATTTGGTGTTGCTGAGAAAAATGCATTGTGAAAAATGAGTAAGTTTACATTTCTTATTTATCATATTTGTTTATTTTGGGAAAGTCATGGTTACTGAGTTTGATCTTTCTTGTTGATTATAAATATTTCTAGATTATTCATATTTAATAAATAACAAGCTTTCATTTTAGACAGAAAAAGGTGAGAATTCCAATTCTGTCATTTACTAGTTGTATGATCTTGTTTATGTTAGTTAACATCTCTCCATGTCAGTTTCTTCAAATTTTATCATCAATACTCTAAACCATTGCCATCAGTCATTTCCGACTCATAGTGACCCTGTTGTTGTTGTTGTTATGTGCTGTCAAGTCGGACCTGACTCATAGCGACACCTCCTTGGGTTTCCAAGGCAGTATCACTACGGAAGTAGATTACCCAAACTTCTTTCCGAGGAGTGGCTGGTGGGTTTGAACCGCCAGACTTCTGGTTAGCAGTCTAGTGCCGTAGGCACTACGCTACCATAAACTAGATTTCCAATTGCATTGTGGAACTGAAAGAAATTCCTACCCAAGGACCATAATTCATTCAAGAAAGAATAAGAAAAAAAAAAAAAAAAAATCTCTCAATTTCTATCCAAATCAAACCAAACCAGTTGATCCCAACTCGTGATGACCACATGAATATCAGAGTATAAACATGCTCTGTAGGATTTTGGAACTGAAAGAAATTCCTACCCAAGGACAAAAAAAAAAGAAAGAAAAAAAAAAAAAAAAAAAAAAAAAAAATCTCTCAATTTCTATCCAAATCAAACCAAACCAGTTGATCCCAACTCGTGATGACCACATGAATATCAGAGTATAAACATGCTCTGTAGGATTTTGGGGCTGCTTTTTCAGAAACATTTCGTTCTGAGACATCTCAGGTGGATTGAAACCCCCAACATCTTGGTTAGCAGCTGAGCACATTAACTATTTGCCCTACCTAAGGATGCCTGGATTTCTGTTAGGCTTTTCCTTAGAACTTCTTTAAATCGGGCAGCTTGGGGAAAGATAATCGTTGTTTTCCTCAAGAAGGCCATCCTTCAAATATCCTATGGAATAGCAGAGGTTTCTCAAAGTTAATTTACAATTACCTCACTTAACACATAAACAAGTATTTGTTTATTAGGCTGGTTAATTTTCACTTTCAATGACGCACAAGCCTGACAACAAGGAGACAACTAAGATGGATAGGAATGTATTGAAAACAAAAAGATAGAAGGGAATATGGAATTTGATAAAATGAGTTATGTGAGACTTGGAAAAAGTATAGCTGAGTAAATAATTATCAATGAAAGCAAAAAATAAAGATTCAAAGGTTGAGAGATGTTCTTCACTAGTTTACCTAAATCTTTCACAGAAATGTCTTAAGGATCATATATGCATATGAAGTTGTTAATTATAGCGGATTGTTAATTGTGAGCAATGACTTTTGTGTTTGTAAATATGTCATATACTTGAATTGCCTTATGTATATTTATAAAATATGTAATTTAGCTTTCTCATCCTTGTGATGTCTATCCCTCCTGTAGATGTCCTTAAGCCTGTTTTCTCAGGTCCCGGAGGAATAGCAAAAGGAAATGCTCATTTTCATGTGAATCTCACATTTTCTTGGTAGAACTGACCACTGTCCATCTCAGCTGGAATTTTTATTTAATCAAGAGAGCTATTGTTTTTTATTTATTTTTTTGTTTTTGTTTTTGCTAGGCAGTGAAGTGAATTAAACAACAGCTCATGCAGATAAGTGGGGAAAAAAAAAAAACCCTAAAGAAATTTTCCAGTATTTTGATGCAGTGCACATTATAGAATCAAGTATCCTAGATTTATATTGTTAAATTAGACATTTTATTGCAGAAACTTCTCTTGTTACTTTGAAATCAAAATATTACTGTTTAATGAGAATGCATAAAATGAATGATATGAAAATGAATTAGTTCAATTTATTGAGGGAACTTAATGCTTTACCTAGAATATATTGTTATTATCTTTATTCATGAGAAGAAAAATAAAGGATTTTCATGTTCTGGTTTATTGATTACTTCCAGATATTAAGAAAATAAGACTTCTAATGAAAAGTAAATGTTAATGTTAAACTCACTGCTGTCAAGTCAGATCCAACTCATAGAGACCTCTCCTTGGGTTTCCGAGACAGTATCTTTATGGAAGTAGATTGCCCAATCTTCCTTCTGAGGAGTGGCTGGTGAGTTTGAACTGCCAGCTTTCTGGTTAACAGTCAAATGTCTTAGGCATTACGTCACCAGAGCTCCCAATGTTGTCCATGAATACATAAGCCTAAGGAATACATAATCTATCTATCTATCTATCTATCTATCTATCTATCTATCTATCTATCTATCTATCTATATATATACATGGGAGCTCTGGTAGCATAGTGGCTAAGACACTTGCCTGCTAACCAGACGTCTGGCGGTTCAAACCCACCAGCCACTCCTCGGAAGGAAGGTTGGGCAATCCTACTTCTGTAGTGATAACTGCCTTGGAAACCCAAGGAGGGGTCGCTATGAGTCGGGGCCGACTCGACGGCACATAACAACAACAACAACAACATATATATACATACACATAGATAGATGAGAAAACAATAAACATATAGAGAGAATAATAAAGAGATTCAGATGGGAGAAATTTGGAAGGAAAAAAATATTCTGTGCAAGTTGACGTTTTATTTCCATAATTCATAAAATTTGGTTTCCTTAGCCCATGAAACTTCACTGTGAACTTCTATTCTACCACCTAGTAACTCCCTAATAACTACCTAAGGATGTTCATGACAATAAATAGTGTCTGTAGCTTCAAATGAGGAGTCGAAACTAATACCAAGCTCAAGTGTTATTGTTGTTGCTACTATGGGCCATCGAGTCAGACCCGACTTGTAGCAACCCATCCTTGTGCTTCCAAGGTGTTATCTAGGGAAGTAGATTGCCCAACCTTCCTTCCAAGTAGTGGCTGGTGAGCTTGAACCACCAGCCTTCTGGTTAGCAGTCAGTGCCTTAGGCAGTAGGCTACCAGAGCTCCTCCAAACTCAAGTGGAAAGTTTGAAAATATAACTGTGCATCAAAGTGGAAACTTAGAAATCTGTAACATTATTAGAGATTTAATTCTACAATAACTTTCAAATTTTGGTGGAGTCCCTGCTTAAGTGACCCTTTTATTGACACAAGGAGTTCTGAGGTGTAGTGTTTAAAGCATTTGATTGCTAACTAAGAGGTCAGTGGTTTAGACAAAACAGCATCTCCTAGGGAAAACTATATGGCAGTCAGCTTCTATAAATACTTACAACCTTGGAAATGATAAGGGGCTGTTCTACTCTGTCCTATAGGGTTGCTATGAGTCAGAATTGACTCAATGGCAGTGGAGTTTTGTATTACACTTATAAATAATACTAAAAGTAACAGAAATGAGGAAATGGCATATTTTTATTGAGTTTGGAGAAATTACAGGAGAAAGAAACATTTCATGAAAGTGTCTTTAAAAATCAATAGGCAATATTTTTCTTTCTAATATTATTATTTGAAAGAGACCTAGGATCAAATTCTTGTTCTACACATTCAGTGTAAGATATTTGGGGAAGATTTATTTAAAATGCTTTGAACTTCAGTTTCTGATCAGTGAAACACAGATTTGATGAAGAAATAGTCTATAAAATAATTTTATATGGTACATGTAAGAACTTCCTTTAAACATGTTAGCTATTCATATTAAATTGTTTTAAAGTTCCCCTAAAATGTAGCATAGGATAATATATTTACTTCCAGAGCTAAACTCCATTGTTATTCATGGAAAATTCCCTTTCTTCAGGTGTTCCCTTTTTATTTTTTCCTATAGATGTCACAAGAGAAAAAAAGAAAATGAAAAATTACACAGAAGTAACAGAGTTTATCCTCTTGGGATTGTCAGATGACCCAAAGCTTCATGTTGTGATTTTTCTTTTTCTGTTCGTCACCTACATGCTCAGCATCTCTGGGAACCTAACCATTATTACCCTCACCCTGCTGGATTCCCACCTCCAGACGCCCATGTATTTCTTTCTCAGGAATTTCTCCTTATTAGAAGTTTCATTCACAAGTGTCAGTATACCCAAGTTCCTGGTCACAATTATTACAGGAGATAAAACCATTTCCTTTAATGATTGTATGGCTCAATTATTTTTCTTCATTCTCTTGGGAGTTACAGAGTTTAACCTTCTGGCTGCCATGTCCTATGACCGCTATGTGGCCATCTGCAAACCCCTGCATTACACAACCATCATGAATCATAGAGTGTGCACACTGCTTGTCTTTATTTCTTGGTTAGTTTCATTCTTAATAATATTCCCATTACTTATGCTATTCATCCAGCTTGATTACTGCAAGTCCAATGTTATAGAACATTTCACCTGTGATTATTTCCCCATATTACGTCTCTCTTGTTCAGACACAAAATTACTAGAGGTAACAGGATTTTCCTGTGCTGTGCTTGCTCTACTGTTCACTTTGGCATTGATAATTCTGTCTTACATATATATCATCAGAACAATTTTGAGAATTCCATCTACTAGTCAGAGGACAAAGGCGTTTTCTACATGTTCTTCCCACATGATTGTCATCTCCATCTCTTATGGCAGCTGCATTTTTATGTACATTAACCCATCAGCAAAAGACAGGGTGTCTTTGAGCAAAGGAGTAGCTGTGTTAAATACATCAGTAGCTCCCATGCTGAACCCTTTTATATACAGCCTAAGGAATCAACAAGTCAAGCAAGCCTTCATGGACATGGCAAGGAAGATTGCATTTTTCTCAAGAAAATGAAAAAAAGAAAAAAAGATACTTTCATGAATTACAGGCATGATGAAGAATGAAGAATGATTAAATTAAAAAAAAAAAAAACAGTGCTTTCAAAAGTCTGTCAAAATCCATATGGTCTATCTAGAATTATTTTTTATTTCTTAAAATTTATTTCAAACAGTTGAGAAGGTTGTTTGATGATGTAAATATAGATGTGTAGATAGATAGATACATAGATAGATAGGTATTTCCCCATTCAAATTCCACTTCTCTCTCATGTACTTTTCTTGAAAATTAATTTTTGGACTCTATCACTATGAAGGAGTAGCTTTTTTTTTTAATCATCCTAAACATATATATAAGAGCTCTGGTAGCATAGTGCCTAAGGCACTTGACTGCTAACCAAAAGTCTGGAGGTTCAAACCTACCAGCCACTCCTCAGAAGGAAGGTTGGGCAATCTACTTCCGTAGTGATACTGCCTCAGAAACCGAAGGAGGGCTTGCTATGAGTCAGGTCCGACTCAACGGCACATAACAACAACAACAACAACAAACATATAAACTTATATGTGTGTGTATATATATATATATATAGATAGATAGATATAGATACAGATATAGATAGATATAGATATAGATATAGATATTTAATTTCAAGTTCTTCACAATAATTATTAGAAAAATAACAGAGAGAAATAGGAAAATCTATGTTTCAGGATTGTTCCTGGAATATTCTATTTCTAGAATATCAGGAGATCACAAACTATTTAGCATTATTAATAATTAAAAAGAATATTATAAACATATTTGATTCCGAATTGTAGCCAGTTAGTAACTATGTGAAAAGCAATGCCACTAAAAGAATAATACAATTCTATTTGTGGAATAATACCTAATGCATTTGGGTGCTATCCAGAAGGTTAGTGGTTCAAACCCACCAGTCACTCTGTGGAAGGAAGACTGGGCAATCTACTTCCATAAAGATTTACCACCTCGAAAACCTAAAGGGGTCACTATGAGTTAGAATCAACTTGATGGCAATGAGTTTGGTTTTTTGGTATAGACATCAAGAATAACTTATCATTACCTAGCTTAAAAATTTCTGTGGTGTATAATTTACTAGTTTATAAAATAATTATCATTATGTACTTGCTTCATATCATAATGAAAGATATGACCAATTGACATAATTGTGTCATAAAGTGACCAAGGAAAACCCAAACCTATTTCCATGATGGGAGCTCTTGTGGCATAGTGCCTAAGGCACTTGACTGCTGGAAGGAAGTTTGGGCAATCTATTTCCGTAGTGATATCGCCTCGGAAACCCAAGGAGGGGTCTCTGTGAGTGGAATCTGACTTGATGGCAGTGCGATTTCCATGATACTGATTAAAGAGTGTCAGGTCTTTCTTGGCAGTGCCTATGGGTGGTTTCTAATCGCCAACCTTTCAGTTAGTAACCAAGGGTTAATCTTTTGTGTCACCCTGTAACTTAATGAAGTGAAAGTGTAATTTAATAGGAATGAGGAAGCTAATAGCAGCAAAATTACAATACATGTAACATTGAGATTATACTTATAAAAAAGTCTTTTTTGTTCATTTAAATGTAACCATTAGAATATGGCACTGTGTACTAAAAATGACTGATTAGGATTTATATCACAATCATAAAGATCATGTAGTTCTGAGTCTTTTTGTCCTTCTTTTATTAAGTCAAAAGCTGAAATGAGAATGAAGGACACTCAAAGATAAATTGGGTATTTTTATTAACCTTGTTTCTAGAAGAGAGAAAAACGGGCTATAATCCTGAACCACTGAGCCAAGTTCTTTATGACCTCATACACTATAATCAATCGAGAAATTCAGGTCTGTGATTTCCCAAGAAATAATAATAATGATAATAATAATCGTCTTACTTAAATACTGAGGAAATGTTGAGTTATTGGAGGGAGGTCATGGAACTGCTGTTTCCTTTCTCTGTACTGCAATTATAATTTTGAAGCTAAATTGAATATATTGGTTTTCAATTACTCAACATATGTATATGTTGTGAAATACAAATAATTGTAGATCTCCAAAAACTAAACCAAACTCACTGCCATTGAGCTGATTTCAACTCACAGTGATCCCTCTTTGGGTTTCTGAGGCGGTACCTCTACGGAAGTAGATTGCCCAATCTTCCTTCTGAGGAGTGGCTGGTGGGTTTGAACTGCCACCCTTCTGGTTAGTAGTCAAATGCCTTAGGCACTACACCATCAGAGCTCCCAACTGTAGATCAGGGAAGTTAAAAAAAGGGTAAAGTTCTTATAAACAATAAGAGGTAATTTATGCTGATATGTCCATTCTTCACTTACTGACATGGTTAGGTTCCAAAGACCAGGTTTTTATGCCAACTTGATTTATGTGAGTCAGGTCTGTATCCTGTCTTTGGAACTAGTGTCTCCTATAATTCCACACCCATCTGGTGGTGTATTCCCTTCCTTACTATGCCTTTTCCATGACCAACCGAGCCCATGGGGGCTGGAGGTAGTAGTGGTGGGGGTCACCTGTTACCTGCCACCTTCTACCATCTGCCTTGGGCAGGGACCTTGCTTGACTTTTGTCCACCCTGATCCTACTGCCCTGTGTGGTCCCCCTCCCTCCTTCTTACCTCCTCTAATCTACCTCCTTGGCACCTTCAAGTGATTGGCTGGACTTCCCCTGACTGCTTGTGACCCCTCACCCCACAAACTCTGTGGCCACATCAAGATGTCATAGACAAATGGAAGGAGGCACTCTGAAGCTACTCAGTCACCATCCCTCATCTGGCCTGGTCATTCTGGGGTCTGGTATGTCATTTCAGGTTACCTGGAGAAGGTGCCCTGGGCCCAACTGCAGACCCACATATGGCCCAAATCATTGGAAGTGCCACATGAGAATTTTTTCCAAGTTGTTTTAAATGGATAATATCACATAACTAGATAGTTGATAAACAAGGAGTAGATTTATTACTGCGTAGTTCAGCTCCCTACTTAAATCTGTATCAGCTCCTACTATTTATTACATGTTTTTGAAATCTGTATATATATTTTGATTGTCTATTTCAGAGGTCCACAAACTTTCTTGTAAAACAACAATGACCAAAAAAAAAAAAAAAAAATTCATTACCATTTAGTCAATTCAGACTCATAGTGACCCTATAGGATAAAGTATAAGTGTTCCATAGGGTTTCCAAAGCTGTAAGTCCTTACAGAAGCAAGCTGCCTCATACTTCTCCTGCAGAACAAGTAATGGGTTTGAACTGCCAAGCTTTTGGTTAGCAGTTGAATGCTTTAACCACTGCACCACCTAGAAGACACATAGAATGCCTTTTTTGTGAAGTGCCATATATTAATGTTTTAGATTTTATTGGCTATGATGATTCTAATAGGAACTCCAGTGGTATAGTGGTAAGGCTGGTAACCAAAAGTTCAGTGATTCGAATCCACCAGCTCCTTGGTGGAAGAGGTGTAAGTCTTTAGGTTCCCTAAAGATTTACAGCCTGGGCAAACCAACGGAAGTTGCTACTAGTCTGAATTGACTCATAGGCAGTGAGATTGGTTTGAGTATGAGACTCTAATGCAACTACCCAAATCTCTCAGGGTAGTATGAGAGGTAAAAGCAGACATTAAACAATATGTAAATAGATGAGATTGAGTTTATGTTGCAAGAAAGCTTTCCTTACAGAAAGAGGTGATGGGTCAAACTGGGCCTGTGAAACCTAGTTTGCCAAGCCTTATCTTAGACAATTTCATAATGCCTTCCATGTATTATTTCTTATGGAATATTGTTTGACTAAAATGTAAAAGTTCAAAAATATATTATTTTAAATTTAATTCCCATTTTTTATATTGTATTATAGTAGTGAATGAGATTAATCTTTTAAAATATTTCCAAGGGAAAAGAAAATAGGCAAACTTTTCTAATTCATTTTGTGGACTAATATATTTTTGATATCATAAGAAAATATGAAAAATGAAAAATCACCAGGAATCTGATTCATATAATAGGAGATAAAAATATTTGAAAAATGAACAAAACTCTTACTTCATGTTAAGTATGATTTCAACAAAAATGATTTATCTTACAAATTTGGTAAAGGAACTTGCCACATTAACACATTAAAGATAAAAAACTACACACACACAAATGTATTCCTCTGATAAAACTCAAAAGCCATTCATGATTATTAAAAAGTCTTTTAGCAAAATAGGAAGGAGACAAAATGTTGTTGAACCAGAGAAAGGTTATTAATTTAATCAATAGCGAAAAAGACCTGAACAGATGTAACAGCCATATATGGATACCCTTTTGTTTGGATCTAATTTGAACAAGTCAATTATAAAATGGCATTTTGAGGACTATTGAGGACATTTGAAAAAGGACAATGTTTTAAAATATACTTAACATTTTCGGAGGCGGGGCAAGATGGCAGACTAGGCAAAAGGATTGCACAGACCCTCTTCAACAAAGAAAAGGGAAACCAATTAACACAGACACAGAAGATAATCTTGGACCCCTGAGCCTTGAAGGAAAGGA